CACAAATCCCGAAATTACCCGAAAACTTGGCATATACTATTTCGAAATTTCTCCCAAAAGTTTTACAAATTGTCATCCTGCATGATGTCAGGTAAGTGAAATGTAGGGGAAATAACTTTCGTTCGTTGACTAACCACTATTCCGAAATTTCCCGAAAATAAACATATGCATATATATAAATGGCCCTTATAGCTATTTTGTTTTAGACATGCCTATGGATGCCAAGGATGGCACGCCAAGATGGCATGCCCGTGGCTGCTATGCCACTCATCCTACATGTGTGTCGTCGCGTTTAAAGTTAATGGCATTATCATGTTTATGGATAATTAATCCAGGTCACCCGGTTAGCGACCCGATTGACGATGTTAACCGGGTTACCCGGTAATTCTTATACGGTACAAGCTCTATCATTTACAATGCGAAACCAGAATTTTTTACAATGCAAATGAGCTTTACGTTACTAGGAATGATTGAATCTCAAGAACTTGAAGTTTGTTAAAGTTTATTAGTGTGCATGAAATTGAAAGGATGCATTAAAAAAACAAATGTAAACACTAGTTTATTATACGGGCATAATGTAAAGATATTTTAATAAAGAACAATCATTTCAAATGTACTTAAAAATAAGTATTTGATATGGATGTTATCTCGGCTTGATCCGGCTTAAAGATTAACTATTATAAAACCGATTAATGAATAGAGTGACCGAGCGATAGCATCCCTAGTATTTGGTTAAAAGCGTATTACTGTTTATAATTATTGAATACGAAGCAGCTAATAACAAAAATTATTTACCGCATAAGCGCGAAATAGCGCCCATCTGCGCGTTAATTAATTGACCTGCGCATTTGCGTTACTTCGAAATAAGGGTTGAATAGGTACCCCTTAATTATAATAAGAGATACATTTAATAAGAATTAAAAAGTGTTCGAAACTAGGTATATATCTATTTTTGAGCTTTAAAAACTTTGTTAAAGCTCAAATGTAGGTTCATTTAGTACCAAGCCTAGTTCCGAAGCACTTTTAATTTATCTTATTTTTTTTTATATATATAGGAGATGCATGTTAATTCGGGACGCTATTTTGGAGGTATCCGATTTTCAAAATAACGCCCATCACGTTATTTCACGCTAATACGGCTATGAAATTAATGTCAGCCTTTGATGCTAATCCTAACTATATATAACACCGTACAGATTTCAAAATAGTTTATGATATATATCTGCTGCGCTGGCATCGGCTTTTATATCAAAAACAATTCCATTTTTTTTTACTAAAGTCTCAATGAATTCGATAAAGAATCTGATTGGGCAGTTTGATCAGAAAGACGTCATTAATTATTCACACGTTTACTTTAACCGTTTCTTCTCCTGAAATAATAAATTTTCGGTTACCTTTATAAAAAAAAAGACAGACAGACATGAACGATCCTTATAAAATGTCATTTCACAAGTGTAAATTTTCTTATCAAAATGACAATGTAAATGTGCTCCATATTGGGCGTAATATCGAAGCAAGGATCGAAAGAATTGATGAAGACATTGCAACTATCTATTTTGTGGATAATCAAGGCGTACAAGTACCTCCTCCGCCAAATTCCGTTCTCAAGAATATATCAACTAATCGTAATGTTCCGTATCGTCGTAATGAATTTCTTATTACATGGATGTCCAATTACTCCTTTCTCCAAAATGGTTTAGAGGTTTTTAGATTGGAAAGACAAAAAAAGCAAGCAATAAGTGGAGTTGCAGATCTTAGAGCAAGTTTAATTGAGTCATAGAATCAATTTTTATGATTATAATTTTTTTATTTTTTTGTAAAGCTTTTATTTCAAATAAGATTTTTTAAAATTAGCACATTAAGAGATCTGTGCATTTATCGCCAATATTCCTCTGTGAGTGATGTTTTGATCTTGTGACGATTAAACTACTATGCAAGATATAAAATAATAATATATCTCGATATCAGCTGTGTGTAAGCGATATACTCAAAGAATGGATTTGAATCAATGACGATATTTTAGGGTTTTTAATTAATTATAAACATAAACCGTAATTGACAGGAACTGAAATTTTCGTTGGACGTCTGGATTTTTTTTCTATTGCTTGATAATTTCATAATTTTTTTTTCATAAATTTTAAAATCCTGACAGTTCAAAATCTTGCCGGTATTTAAAGTATCATTGATATTTGAGTCTCACCTTCATTAATATATATTACGCATTACTAATTGAAGACTTTTTAATGGGTATTAAAAAATAAGTTATAATTTGGTTTAATTTACGGGCCAAATTGTATAGATACTTGGTGTTGTTGAGAGCATTGGATGTTGTTGATGACACTGTATCGGTCACAAAATATATTATAGATGTAAGT